GCAACGTGCATAACGTCACAAAGTTGGACCAAACTCTGGCCTGGAAGGTGGCGAGCAACGTGCATTCCTTAAAAAAAACAACTTTTGGGCCTAAAATCTTTTTTTATGATTCGTTATAGGAGCTTTATTAAGTGGAGCTTAATACTTGCACAGGTATGTGTTAAGAACAGCGAAATAAAGAGAGTAATGTCTTTTATTTCTACCATTTTTAGATTGTTTTTTAAATTTGACTCTCACAGATTCAGTTCTTGGGATGATAAAAGACAACAGTTTAAAACATGCACTCATTACTGCGCAGCTGGACTTTCCAACTCGATCCATCACTCTGGTTCGAGATCGAAACGTCCCTCCAGGGGCCAAACATCTTTTTGCGTGTGTCTCTGGAAAACAGAGCCTCAGCGCTTCGTGTTATTGTTTCCACGCCAGCGTCTCCGTCCTGTGGAGCCAGCCCCTCGCTGTGTGTTTTGTCTCAGGAGAGAAGGTCAGGTCTGCGTGTTCACTTTGTGACTTTCCCTCAATCAGCTGTTTGGAGCCTCGCGGCTGAGAGAAAACAGCCTTGGTCTGAGTCGACGTCACTGATAGCAGAACGGAGACGGCGAAGAAGCGAGGAGGTGGTGGATGGTACAATGGCTGTGGGTGGTGTGCGGTGGAGCGAGCGGATGCTGGGCCCAGCGGCGGGAGCAGCTGGTAGGCCTCGCAGACCCACTCGTGCTCTCAAGGTCTACAGAGGCTCAGATATGAAACAAGGAGGTGCTGTTGAGGTGAAACAATCAACCAACTGAGAGACAAACGGGAGGGTTAGAGGAAGGAAGGAACAGAGGTTCATTTTTTAAATTTATTTCAGATTCAGATAGAAGTGATTATAGGCGATTTCTGCTGGGTGCACCAGCTTCAGCGTCTTGTTGCTGGGAGTGTTGGTTTGCAGTCCTGTCTCACTGATTTCACCCAAACTCCATCAGCGTGCAGACGTGACAAATGAAAACCCATCTGCATGAAGAGATTGAACGAACAACATCACAAAGTTCAATAAACTGACTCTGTCAAATTTCCCTCTTAGTTTTCCTTGAACGTATTGCTTAGACCAGGGGTCTGCAACCTGCGGCTCTGGGGCCACAAGTGGCTCTTTGGTCCTTGGTTTGCGGCTCCTTGAAGCTTTGACCAAACATAATGCAAAATATAGTGTCATTGGTTTTTATACACACAGTAAAGAGAAATGGCACGTTTGAGCAGTTTTTCTGCAAATGTTTAAATGACAGAGAAAATAATTAGGATTAGCTTTAGCTACTTCATTTACCAAACACCGTCCTTAAAGTGGCATAGTTCTCTCAAATCCACCAGAAATTCCTTGGTATACCTTTAGGACAAGTTGCCTAGAAGAAATATGGTGAATTTATATATATATATATATATATATAGAGAGAGAGAGAGAGAGAGAGAGAGAGAGAGAGAGAGAAATAGTCCTAATTAACGTTAAAGTAAATACAAAAGTTGTTTTGAAATTAAAAAATTGATGTCACATTGACATATCTAACAAAATTGCCTAATATTTAGATAAATAAAGATAAACTTTACATTTTTGCTTTATTACTTTATGCATTTTTTCTTCCTAAAATTAAAAAGAAGACTCCAAAACCTGCAGAGTTCAGAGTTAAAATTTATTTAGTAAAATTGGTATGAATTTCCCCCCCTTGTTTACATGAACGCGGTCTTTTCCTTAGCCCTAAAATGTAAAAATATTAATAAATGTTAAAATTCATTATATAATTTTTGTTTTATAAAGTTACCCCCAATGGCTGGGGAAAAAAAAAAAAAAAAAAAAAACTTCCTACAAATTTGAAGTGGCCCATGAGCCGCAAGTTGATAATCACTGTTGTAGCAGGTTTTGTGGCTCTAGACGCATTTCGTTTCGTAAGTGAAGGGTAGAAATGTCTCTTTTAGTCTAAAAGGTTGCAGACCCAGAACCTGTCGCAGGGGCTAGAGTCTAGTCAGGGTGGCCAGTTGATGCACAAACAGAACCACCTTAGGAGGAAGCCAGAAAACTTTCAAAAGATCACACACAGCTCCAAGTCCTCATAAGATTTAAACCTAAAACTGCAGGTAAATAAATGTGCAGCCTACAACCCCAAAATATTAAATTTATGTTTATTCTTAAACACATCACTTTGTACTAACCCCTTTTTGAACATCCTTCCTAAATTAAAGGTTCTGCCAAGATATTGTCACATCTTCATTTAATAGGTTTAATATTGTCATCTTTTAAAGTATTAAAGTGTAATATATCTGGAAGAAGAATCCCAAAATATACAAACTACACCGACCTACGGCTGTGGTTTTGAATAGGAAGGATGCTTCAATCTGAAATATAACATTTTATAGAAAATGCAGTCATTTAATTTAATTTAAGAATTACAGTCTTACAATATTCAAACATGGATTATGATATTTATGGAAACACGTTTTAAAACCTTTTCACAGGCCAGATTTTTTTGTTGCTGAAAACTGGCACGTGTATCTGTAAATGTTTGTTTTAAAAGTATAAAATAAGTTTTTCATGTATTTTATTATACCACTGAACTCTTGTTAAATTATTATTATTATAAACAAAATATCCCAATAATATAATCTGTTGTGCTTTTCTGTATTTTTGACTCATTTTGATGCAATTTATAAAGTGTCAGATTTGTTTGTTTTTATGCTAAACTGACTATAAATGCTGTAGCCTTTAAAAAACAGGGAAGATTTCAATGTGGCTAGATGTAACGAAGTGTGAGTTTTGCTTTTTGAGCTAAAAAAACAAACAAACCAAGAAACAGACTCTGGTGCAGTTACTGTATATGAGAAATGTCTATTTTGACCTTTTTGTAAATACAGCTACAAAATTTTTCTGAAGGGGGAAAAATGTGTTCAAAACTTTTCAGTCAGAAGAACAAATAACTCTGAGATCTGATAAGATTTAAGCTTCACTGAAAAGGGTCTGGAGCTCCACCAGACATGGCCGACGTCGCGCGGCGCTTATCCCTCTCGGACTGTGCCTCGCTCACTGAACACACACCTCTCCCTCTGCACACATTACACACACTCGGTCTGGCTCGGCGCTTTCTTTTCGTCCTCTCCTGCACTTTAACCAGTGGCCAGACAATGAAAACATTGAGAGGCAGTTTCTATGGCGTGACCAGGGGCTTTTGTTTCACTCAAAATGTATGTATTCTACATGCTCCAATTATGGTTTTTATCAGATCGCTGTCAAACTCACCGGCCTCTGCTCTGTGGCCTCTCTGACTGTACCTCGCAGAGCGGTGCCTTACTGTTTGCCCATGGTGGGAGACAAATATCTCAGACTGATTTGTGTCCCTGTAGGTGGAAATCATGGAAAAACAGTGAGTCACTGCCCCCCTTTTTGTTTTAACATGACAAATTGATTTCAAATGCAGAACTTTCTTATGAGTAACACAGCTCTCAACCATTTCAGCACAATTTGCGAACATATTTGACAAAAAAAAAAAAGCCGTATCAGGGGGATCTGAAGCACGTACTGTTAAATTCCTTATTGTGACTTGCTCTGCAGGCTCCAACAAAGGAGGCCATGAGACATGGCTGATCTGACTCAATTCTCCACTTCCCCTTGCTGCCCCAGTCACGTCCACATCAGCAGCATTTTAGAGTCATAGCTTAGCTGTATGATCACAATGAGAGCATGTGCTGGTAAAGAAAATTGTTGCTCTCCAAACTGGGATTCAAATAAATCTTTCGCTAAACTTCAAAGGATTTATCCTTTAGTTTGCCCTTTAACCTTTTTTTTTCTCCTTTGACACAAAGATGAACCCTGACCAGTGTGTGTACGTGTGCGCGCTGTGTTTTGATAGATGCTGGTCAGCAGCTTTGGCTCCACTAAGCCGAGTGTTTACAGATTTGCCAGAACGCAGCCTTCTGGATTCAAGAAGCTGCATCCAGACAGACAGACATCACTGAGGTTTGAGGTCTGGACTGTTTGACATTATCCATAAAACAAGATTAGCATGACGTGATAACAAGTGTCGCTCGAGGCGACAATAGAGCTGCTTTTATCTGCAGCGTGATACAGAGTGACAATATGGTAAAAAAAATGACGCAACATTAATCAGTCCTTTGCAAGATTAAAAAAATAATATTACTGTCATGCTTTTCAGAGTTCTTTCTTTACAATATACACAATGAGTTTAAGAAAATTCTGAATTTTGACATGCTACCTTAAAAACAAAACTCTCAAACAGACTTTTTTCCGTACTTCTACCAGGGGTCTGCAACCTGCGGCTCTGGGGCCACATGTGGCTCTTTGGTCCTTGGTTTGCGGCTCCTTGAAGCTTTGACCAAA